CGTATGCTATTATTTAATTTAATTTATTATTTTATCTTTAGACGTGACTTAACCGAAAGAACCAAATAATCATTTACTGCAGTCACGAAAGTTCTAAAATTAAGACAGAGGGATATCGTTCCAGACTGTTGGGGCTCCGGGTGCCCCTGGTTGTTCTACTTGGCGCTTAGAAGTAACGCCGCGCGTTCGGCAGCCGTGACCTTGGATGCACGACAGTCGGCTCGCTGCTAAAACAAGAAGGTGCTCCCGATTTGGCATGATCGGCTACGTACGGCGCGAAAGAAGTTTGGTGGGCGACGATGGCGGTGCGACTGGCGCTGGCGAAGGGCAGAAGGAAATGAAGAAGACTCCCTCGATTTGAAGTTTTCGTGACTGCAAGGGAGACGTACTCTTTGTTTTTTTTCCGGTAAAGTCACGTAGGTAAAAAATAAATAAACGAATTTGTCTGTAAGGGTTCTACCTGAAGACGGAAGCTTGTGTTGCCTCCGAAACGTCGTGATTTAATTTAGTTGTCTTTTCATTTATTAAATTTTTACCTACGTGACTTTACCGAAAAAAACAAAGAGTAAGACTCCCCCGATTAAGCACCAGGGGCTGGCCTGCCCCCCCCTTCGCCGGCCCCCTAATCCCGCTTGCGCCCGGACCGCCGCATTCACTCGTAAGGTGATCTCGGCCACCAGCTGTTTTTTTTTAGTGCGGTTGTTGTTGCCGCCGCAATCGTAGTTTCTGCGAGTATCGGATCCAGGAGACCACGTGACCCGCTGGCCCCGTGTCATGTGACCAACCTCAAAACTCAACTGGGCCAAAGGTCACGGAAGTGGAAAAAAGAGGCAACATTAAACGCCCCAGCTGCCCCCCACCCACTCACCCACCCAATTACCCTTTCACCCACCCACCCACTCACACTTTCCACCAACCCCCCCCACGCATACACTCACCCACGCAGCCAACCACCCACGCACTCACCCACCCACCCACGCATTCACCCACCCACCCACCCATGCAGTTACACACCCACGCACGCACTCACCCACGCACGCACTCACCCACGCACACACTCACCCACCCAACAACCCACCCACGCATCCACACACCCAACCACCCATCCCTCCATTCAACTACCCACCCACACACCCACCCAACAACCCACCGACCCAACAACCCACCCACGCATCCACACACCCATGCATCCACACACCCAACCACCCATCCCTCCATCCAACCACCCACCCACCCAACAACAACGCACCCACCCAACAACCCACCCACCCAACAACCCACCCACGCATCCACACACCCATGCATCCACACACCCAACCACCCATCCCTCCATCCAACCACCCACCCACTTGATTTTTTTCATCCCATAGCTTCACTTCTCTTCTCCCCCCCCCTCGACCCATCGCCCCCCCCCCCCATCTATTTTACATCCTTCCTGTATACCCCCCCGCCCACCCTCCTTTCTCTGCTATTTTTCCTTTCTTCCATCGTCATAAAGGGCAGTGCGGTGCTGCTGTTGCTGCAAGATGAGCGGCGGATTTCAACTGAAATGAGCAATGGGGCAGGGAGCTGTTTGCAGCAGCCGTGGACATTCCACACCCTTTCGATATCCCACCACCACCACCACGAAGTTGGTACTCGTTTTAGCGACCCCCCCCCCCCCCCCGGAGAGATGATGGGCTGAGTCAATGAGTCAATCAACCACCCACCCACCCACCCCTCCCGCCGCACCGAGTTTCCACGCAAGCGACGCACTTTTAATAAAAAATTATAAATTCGCGGTCAATGGTTCTTGAGCTTTATTGCAGCCTTGCACCCCATTGGTTCTCAATCGCAATTTTTGTTTTATATATATAATGTTAATAAATACGTCGGGCTTGATGAAACAAAGTAAGTTGTTACTCACTTTGCCCGTGCTCGAGTTGCGCTTTCGATGGTTTACCTTCAAAAAGAACAATCTGCCCGTGTCTCGCACACCCCCAGAAAGGTGCATCTCGCCCCCCACCCCCCCCCCCAGCAGTTGTTTGACCATACTTCACCATGCCGGTCATTGCGGGTTGGTGCCATCGTTCGATAGGCAGGGCTGGTTGAGATGTCACACGTGTCCCGGAATCGAACTCGTGTCTCCAGGCTGAGTGTGCGGTGTGCGTAGATTAGTACGTGTCCGGGAGTCGAACTCGTGTCTCCAGGTTGAGTGCGCGGTGTGCGTAGATTAGTACGTGTCCGGGAGTCGAACTCGTGTCTCCAGGCTGAGTGTGCGGTGTGCGTAGATTAGTACGTGTCCGGGAGTCGAACTCGTGTCTCCAGGCTGAGTGTGCGGTGTGCGTAGATTAGCACGTGTCCAGGAGTCGAACTCGTGTCTCCAGGTTGAGTGTGCGGTGTGCGTAGATTAGCACGTGTCCAGGAGTCGAACTCGTGTCTGCAGGCTGAGTGCGCGGTGTGCGTAGATTAGCACGTGTCCAGGAGTCGAACTCGTGTCTGCAGGCTGAGTGTGCGGTGTGCGTAGATTAGTACGTGTCCGGGAATCGAACTCGTGTCTCCAGGGTGAGTGTGCGGTGTGCGTAGATTAGTACGTGTCCGGGAATCGAACTCGTGTCTCCAGGTTGAGTGTGCGGTGTGTGTAGATTAGTACGTGTCCGGGAGTCAAACTTGTGTCTCCAGGCTGAGTGTGCGGTGTGCGTAGATTAGCACGTGTCCGGGAATCGAACTCGTGTCTCCAGGTTGAGTGTGCGGTGTGCGTAGATTAGTACGTGTCCGGGAATCGAACTCGTGTCTGCAGGCTGAGTGCGCGGTGTGTGTAGATTAGTACGTGTCCGGGAGTCGAACTCGTGTCTCCAGGTTGAGTGTGCGGTGTGCGTAGATTAGTACGTGTCCGGGAGTCAAACTTGTGTCTCCAGGTTGAGTGCGCGGTGTGCGTAGATTAGTACGTGTCCGGGAGTCGAACTCGTGTCTCCAGGCTGAGTGTGCGGTGTGCGTAGATTAGTACGTGTCCGGGAGTCGAACTCGTGTCTCCAGGCTGAGTGTGCGGTGTGCGTAGATTAGTACGTGTCCGGGAGTCGAACTCGTGTCTGCAGGCTGAGTGTGCGGTGTGCGTAGATTAGTACGTGTCCAGGAGTCGAACTCGTGTCTCCAGGTTGAGTGTGCGGTGTGCGTAGATTAGTACGTGTCCGGGAATCGAACTCGTGTCTCCAGGCTGAGTGTGCGGTGTGCGTAGATTAGTACGTGTCCAGGAGTCGAACTCGTGTCTGCAGGCTGAGTGTGCGGTGTGCGTAGATTAGTACGTGTCCAGGAGTCGAACTTGTGTCTCCAGGCTGAGTGTGCGGTGTGCGTAGATTAGTACGTGTCCGGGAGTCGAACTCGTGTCTGCAGGCTGAGTGTGCGGTGTGCGTAGATTAGTACGTGTCCGGGAGTCGAACTCGTGTCTGCAGGCTGAGTGCGCGGTGTGCGTAGATTAGTACGTGTTCGGGAGTCGAACTCGTGTCTGCAGGCTGAGTGTGCGGTGTGCGTAGATTAGTACGTGTCCGGGAGTCGAACTCGTGTCTCCAGGTTGAGTGTGCGGTGTGCGTAGATTAGTACGTGTCCGGGAGTCGAACTCGTGTCTCCAGGTTGAGTGTGCGGTGTGCGTAGATTAGTACGTGTCCGGGAATCGAACTCGTGTCTCCAGGCTGAGTGCGCGGTGTGCGTAGATTAGTACGTGTCCGGGAATCGAACTCGTGTCTCCAGGCTGAGTGCACGGTGTACTTAGATTAGCACGTATCCGGGAATCGAACTCGTGTCTCCAGGTTGAGTGTGCGGTGTGTGTAGATTAGTACGTGTCCAGGAGTCGAACTCGTGTCTCCAGGTTGAGTGTGCGGTGTGCGTAGATTAGTACGTGTCCGGGAATCGAACTCGTGTCTCCAGGCTGAGTGCGCGGTGTGCGTAGATTAGCACGTGTCCGGGAATCGAACTCGTGTCTCCAGGTTGAGTGTGCGGTGTGTGTAGATTAGTACGTGTCCAGGAGTCGAACTCGTGTCTCCAGGTTGAGTGTGCGGTGTGCGTAGATTAGTACGTGTCCGGGAATCGAACTCGTGTCTCCAGGCTGAGTGCGCGGTGTGCGTAGATTAGCACGTGTCCGGGAATCGAACTCGTGTCTCCAGGGTGAGTGTGCGGTGTGCGTAGATTAGCACGTGTCCAGGAATCGAACTCGTGTCTCCAGGTTGAGTGTGCGGTGTGCGTAGATTAGCACGTGTCCGGGAATCGAACTCGTGTCTCCAGGTTGAGTGTGCGGTGTGCGTAGATTAGCACGTGTCCGGGAGTCGAACTCGTGTCTCCAGGTTGAGTGTGCGGTGTGCGTAGATTAGCACGTGTCCGGGAATCGAACTCGTGTCTCGAGGCTGAGTGCATTTACATGATTGAGATTATTTTGCTGCTTTAAATTTCCCATGTGATGATGATGATGAGCCACTTTGTTGACCTTTCATTTGTGATAGCCACGTCGCTTCTGAAAAAGAAGCTAATAGCTCAGTGGGCTTTACCTGGTAAGATAAAAAAAAAATAGATTAGTTTTATCTGTATTTATTTTTAGCGATTTGTTTACCTTTCTTACACTTTTCACTCCTATTGTGTTTTTGAAACGTTTGTTCCTCCAGTATATAAAGTTTAATTCTGATTCCATAAACTGCTGTGTCACTGTTTCCCCCGAAGTGATGTTGATCATTGACAATGATCGATGATCTTCTTGGTTCTTTCGGTAAAGTCACGTAGAAGGGAAATAATAAAATAATAAAAATAAAACATAATAAAATAATTCTCACGACGTTTCGGCCACAACGCAAGCAGCCGTGAGAATCATTTTATAATGTTTTATTTTTATTATTTTATTACTTTCCTTCTACGTGACTTTACCGAAAGAACCAAGAAGATGAATCCCTGCAGTCACGAAAGCTTTAAATCGAAATCTTTATTATGTTTAATTTTTATTATTTTATTACTTCCATTCTACGTGACTTTACCGAAAGAACCAAGAAGATGAATCCCTGCAGTCACGAAAGCTTTACATCGAAAATTGATCGATGATGTTGAAGGTGACGATGCTGTGTGTGTGTGTATATCCGAATGCAGTCACATCGACCAGACGACAACGTGGCAAGATCCCCGTAAATCTTTGGGCCCTCAAATGATTCTCCCTTCTCCAGCCAGCCCAGCGACGCAGCAGCAGCGTGGCATGGGAGTGCAGCAGCAGCAGCAGCAGAATCTGGGTAAGTCAGAACCCTGCACCTTGAACGGCTCGGGCTGCTACAGCATCCCCTTGTTCGTCACAAACTCGCTGTCCGCGACTTTTTTGAATTACACAATACAGCGTTCCCTGGTTATATACGAATTCAATATCCGTGATTTTGAATTACACAATACAGCATTCCCTGGTTATATACGAATTCAATATCCGTGATTTTGAATTACACAATACAGCATTCCCTGGTTATATACGAATTCAATATCCGAGATTTTGAATTACACAACAAAGCGTTCCCTGGTTATATACGAATTCACTATCCGTGATTTAGAATTACACAATACAGCATTCCCTGGTTTCCACAAATTCACTGTCTGTGATTTTGAATTACACAACAAAGCGTTCCCTAGTTATATAAGAATTCACTATCCGAGATTTAGAATTACACAATACAGCATTCCCTGATTTCCACAAATTCACTATTTGTGATTTAGAATTACACAACACAGCGTTCCCTTGTTACATACGAATTCACTATCCGAGATTTTGAATTACTCAACACAGCGCTTGCTGGATATTCACAAACTCGCTCTCCGTGATTTTGAAATTATGCTGATTATGACATGAAATAAAAAAAACTGAACAATTTTTTAACATATATTTTTTAAACCATTAGCTTCGTCATTATTTGACACGTTCATTTTCATCGAGGCAATTTTAGGCCCCGATCCATCACGTGCGCAGACACACACCGTCAACACGAAGCCAAACCGATAGTGAAAAGCGGGGGGGATATACAAAACGAGGGAATGGGCCCGCTGCCCCCAAACCATGTGGCAGGGGGTGTGGGGGTCCGTCTCACCCACCCAAAGGGGGAAAGGAGGGGAACTTTTTGTTTTAAGTACGGGTGGAAGGGAGAGAGGGGGACAACAAAAACACGCGCCTGACGTAAAGAACGGAAAGGAAATAACAGAAGAGGCGGCCTAAACGGTGCAATGTTTACATTTTGATTGAAAGCTTTCGTGACTGCAGGGATTCATATTCTTGGTTCTTTCGGTAAAGTCACGTAGAAGGGAAACGATAAAATAATAAAAATATAAAACAATAAAATCCTCACGACGTTTCGATCGCAACACAAGCAATCATCATCAGGTGTGAAATCCACAGCTTTTTTCAAAATTTCTTGCTGTGGTTTTCACACCTGATGATGATTGCTTGTGTTGCGATCGAAACGTCGTGAGAATTTGTATTGTTTTTTATTTTTTTATTTTATTGTTTCCCTTCTACGTGACTTTACCGAAAGAACCAAGAATATGGTGCAATGTTTGTTCTCTGCGGCGGTTTGCGCCCCTCGCCCCTCGTTCCTCGGTCGCTGTCTCCCGACCCTCCACCCTGCTTAGCTTATTTGAGGCCTTGTATGAGGTGGGGGGGGGGGGGGCGTTGGGGGGAGTGGAACAACGAAATATATTTTGTTTATTTTGCCAGGTAAAGGCCCCGCTGAGCTACGTAGCTCTTTTTCAGACGCGACCCCGGCCGTCACAAATGATTGGTCGACGAAGTGGCGGCTTGTCGTCATCGTCGTCATCGTCGTCGTCATCGTGTGGAAATTGATAGCTGCGGCCAGATATTCTAAACGCGTGATGTTGTGTCTAAATGTGGAGGGGAAAAATCGGAGGACATTGGAAAAAAATCCACGCGACCACGGGGAGAGAGAGAGAGACACGCAAACTCCAAATGTCGGGGTCGGGATCGAACCCATGATCTCCTGTACACCAGGCGAGGTAGTTAACATCTCCGAGCCACCGTGATGATGATGAGAGAGACACGCAAACTCCAAATATACAGCAGGTATCGGGGTCGGGATCGAACCCACGACCTCCTGTACACCAGGCGAGGTAGTTAACATCTCCTAACCACCGTGGTGATGATGAGAGAGACACGCAAACTCTAAATATATAGCAGGTATCGGGGTGGGGATCGAACCCACGATCTCCTGTATACCAGGCGAGGTAGTTAACATCTCCGAGCCACCGTGATGATGATGAGAGAGACACGCAAACTCCAAATATATAGCAGGTATCGGGGTGGGGATCGAACCCACGATCTCCTGTATACCAGGCGAGGTAGTTAACATCTCCGAGCCACCGTGATGATGATGAGAGAGAGACACAAACTCCAAATATACAACAGTTATCGGGGTCGGGATCGAACGCACGATCTCCTGTATACCAGGCGAGGTAGTTAACAGTTCATAGCCACCGTGATGATGATGAGAGAGAGACACGCAAACTCCAAATATACAGCAGGTATCGGAGTCGGGATCGAACCCACGATCTCCTGTATACCAGGCGAGGTAGTTAACATTTCCTAGCCACCGTGATGATGATGAGAGAGAACACGCAAACTCCAAATATATAGCAGGTATCGGGGTGGGGATCGAACGCACGATCTCCTGTATACCAGGCGAGGTAGTTAACATCTCCTAGCCACCGTGATGATGATGAGAGAGAAACACGCAAACTCCAAATATACAGCAGGTATCGGAGTCGGGATCGAACCCACGATCTCCTGTATACCAGGCGAGGTAGTTAACATTTCCTAGCCACCGTGATGATGAGAGAGAGAGACACACAGACTCCAAATATACAGCAGCAGGCGTCAGGTTCGGGAGCGAACCCACGACCTCCTGTATACCAGGCGAGGTAGTTAACATCTCCGAGCCACCGTGATGATGATGAGAGAGACACGCAAACTCCAAATATACAGCAGGTATCGGGGTCGGGATCGAACCCACGATCTCCTGTATACCAGGCGAGGTAGTTAAGATCTCCTCGCCACCGTGATGATAATGAAAGAGAGAGAGACACGCAGATTCCAAATACACAGCATGCGTCAATGTTGGGATCGAATCCACAACCTCCTGTATACCAGGCGAGGTAGTTAACATCTCCTAGCCACTGTGATTATGATGAGAGACACGCAAACTCTAAATATACAGCAGGTATCGGGGTCGGGATCGAACCCACGATCTCCTGCACACCAGGAGAGAGGGAGTTAACATCTCCTCGCCACAGTGATGACAATGAAAGAGAGAGAGACACACAAACTCAAAATATACAGCAGCAGGCGTCAGGTTCGGGAGCGAACCCACGATCTCCTGTATACCAGGAGAGGGAGTTAACATCTCCTAGCCACCGTGATGACAATAAAAGAGAGAGAGAGACACGCAAACTCCAAATATGCAGCAGGCGTCAAGGTCGGGATCGAACCCACGATCTCCTGTATACCAGGCGAGGTAGTTACCATCTCCTAGCCACCATGGTGATGATGAAAGAGAGACACGCAAACTCCAAATATGCAGCAGGCGTCAAGGTCGGGATCGAACCCATAATCTCGTGTATACCAGACGAGGTAGTTAACATCTCCTAGTCACCGTGATGATGATGAGAGAGAGACACGCAAACTCCAAATATACAGCAGGTATCGGGGTTGGGATCGAACCCACGATCTCCTGTATACCAGGCGAGGTAGTTAACATCTCCGAGCCACCGTGATGATGAGGAGAGAGACACGCAAACTCCAAATATACAGCAGGTATCGGGGTCTGGATCGAACGCATGATCTCCTGTATACCAGGCGAGGTAGTTAACATTTCCTAGCCACCGTGATGATGAGCGAGAGAGACACACAGACTCCAAATATACAGCAGCAGGCGTCAGGTTCGGGAGCGAACCCGCGACCTCCTGTATACCAGGCGAGGTAGTTACCATCTCCTAGCCACCATGATGATGATGAGAGAGAGACACGCAAACTCCAAATATACAGCAGGTATCGGGGTCGGGATCGAACCCACGATCTCCTGTATACCAGGAGAGGTAGTTAACATCTCTCCACCATGACAACGCTGTATCCCTCAGCGACATCAAGCCTCAGAGGCCCCATCGAGGGCTTGCCTGTAGATTTTTATCGCATCTGAAAGAATCTTATCGTTTGAGAGAACTTTGTATCCCGATCTCCCTCATGTTTCGTGTTGATTCGTAGTTTTTTTTGGGCTGTACTGGTTTATATATTCACTCAGCATTTCTCTACATTTTGTATGTTGTTTATGTTCAATTCATTAATTAACACGTATTTTATAATTATTTTATTCACTTAACGGTACACATTTTCATTTGTTTCATACTTTACTTCGGACCGATTTAAACATTTTATTCGTCAATCTTTTTTTATTTGTTTACTTATTATTCACTTTCTTTTTTCGTGTATATTTAGAGGCCCTCTCCACCCCCCCCCCCCCCCAGTCCTTCACGGTGTGAGAGCATGGCCAGGGAGCGCGGGGTCACTGCGTTCGTCGTCGGTCGGGGACGACTGCAACGCAGCGGCGGCGGCGTCGTCTCGTGCGTTGCCTCCGGTCGTTCTTCGCGCGCGATTCCGGCAGCCCGCCGCTCCGTGGTTCCGCGGGTGTTCGAGAGACGAGAAGACGAAACTAAAATTCTCCCCGGGATGATTTTCGCGTCGTCGTTTTTAAACAAAAATTATTCATTGGACCGCCGCCGCTTGCGCGGTGGGGCGGGTCGCCACGCCTGCCAATGACGTCGCGGGGATCTCTTGTGACGGTAGCAGTCTCGCGTGGGCGTCGTGTGTGACGTCACAGGTGTGCGCGCGACGCGCGTGACGTGGCAGTCTCGCGTGGGCGTGTCGTGTGTGACGTCACAGGTGGGCTCGTGACGCGCGTGACGAAGCGGTCTCGCGTGGGTGTGTCGTGTGTGACGTCACAGGTGTGCGCGCGACGCGCGTGACGGAGCAGTCTCGCGTGGGCGTGTCGTGTGTGACGTCACAGGTGTGCGCGTGACGTAGCAGTCTCGCGTGGGCGCGTCGTGTGTGACGTCACAGGTGTGCGCGTGACGTAGCAGTCTCGCGTGGGCGCGTCGTGTGTGACGTCACAGGTGTGCGCGTGACGGTAGCGGTCTCGCGTGGGCGTGTCGTGTGACGTCACAGGTGTGCGTGTGACGTGCGTGTGCGACGTCATGCATGTGCCGCGTGCGACATCGGCAGGCGTCGTGATCGGAATCGAATCGACGACCTCCTGTGTACATGATCAGGATAACACGGCGCGTGTTGACCGGATTCAAGCAATTCCTTTGCGCAACATTTTTTTTGCTGAGCGAACAAAAATACTAACATTTCCGGCGGGGTCTTTGATTTTCCAGGAACGTTTTCAGTTTGGAGTCTCGGCCAATGGCTTTCTTTCTCTCATCCCCCAGACACGGACTCACTCTCTCCTCACTCTCACAGACGCAGATTCGCTCACTCCTCACTCTCACAGACACAGACTCACTCTCTCCTCACAGACACAGACAGACTCACTCTCTCCTCACTCTCACAGACGCAGATTCGCTCACTCCTCACTCTCACAGACACAGACTCACTCTCTCCTCACAGACACAGACAGACACACTCTCTCCTCACTCTCACAGACACGGACTCACTCTCTCCTCACAGACACAGATTCACTCTCTCCTCACTCTCACAGACGCAGATTCGCTCACTCCTCACTCTCACAGACACAGACTCACTCTCTCCTCACAGACACAGACAGACTCACTCTCTCCTCACTCTCACAGACACGGACTCACTCTCTCCTCACAGACACAGATTCGCTCACTCCTCACTCTCACAGACACAGACTCACTCTCTCCTCACTCTCACACACACAGACTCTCTCCTCACAATCCCAGGTTTTATCCTCGCGAAGCTTTGGCTGTCGGCATTTATAAGAGTCGAAGCACCCACCACCACCTCCACCACCGCCACCACCACCGCCACCACCACCTCCACAGCTCGGGCCTCCAACTAAGGCTTTTGCGAACAATCCACCCAACCGGTCGACCAAAGGCGTAAAATGAAGGGCACAAATTTGGCGCTTATTTGATTAAAGAGTTGTGCGGTCACAGCGGAGCCGACTGAACGCAAACCAACATATATCCAGCAGCAGCAGCACGCAATCCTATTTATTTTATTTTTCATCGGCATTAAACCGCGGGTTACCTTGAAACTCTAACGTAGTGTAGATTTAACCGATTAAAAATAGAAAAAATCATAAACAATTATAATAATAATAAAAGATAAAAACAAATTCTAACACTCTCGTGTCCTTTGTGTTAATGCAGGTCCCCTTCCGGAAGGCTGGGAGCAAGCCTGTACTCCTGAAGGCGAAATTTATTTCATAAATCACAAAAACAAAACCACGTCATGGCTGGATCCACGACTTGACCCTCGCTACAGTAAGTCCGTGGCGACGCTTTACCATTTGGATACAAAGCGCTCTTTGGCCCCCCCCTCTCCCCGCCCCCCCCCCCCGCCCCCCCTCCCGCGATTCGATCGATCGATCGATCCGTCGATCGATCCGTCAGATCCGGGCTTCGCTTACCTCTCGCTCGAGTTACTTTCGTGGCGGCGTTTCGCGGTCGGCGGATGGCGGTTCGAGCGCGGTTGAACAAAACGGGAAGAGTGTCGGCGCAATCGTCGACGACGCGACTGTGCTTGTGGCCACGCGCTATGGCAACTAAAACTAAACTATTTTTTATATTAGCAGGTAGGGCCACTGAGCTTACTGAAAACATTTTTTTCAGAAGCAACCCGGCCATCGCAAATAATTGCCCAACGGAGTGGGCTCACCACCATCGTCGTCGCGTGGAAATGTATTGAAGCCAAGTACTCCCAGACGCGTGACGTTGATTCTAAATGTGGAGGGGGGAAAACCGGAGGACCCGGAGAAAAATACACGTGACCACGGGGAGAACATGCAAACTCCAAATATACAGCAGCAGGCGTCAGGGTTGGGATCGAACCCACGACCTCCTGTATACCAGGCGAGGTAGTTAACATGGCCACCGTGATGATGAGAGAAGAGAGACACGCAAACTCCAAATATACAGCAGCATGCGTCAGGGTTGGGATCGAACCCACGACCTCCTGTATACCAGGCGAGGTAGTTAACAGCTCATAGCCACCGTGATGATGAGAGAGAGAGACACGCAAACTCCAAATATACAGCAGCATGCGTCAGGGTTGGGATCGAACCCACGACCTCCTGTACACCAGGCGAGGTAGTTAACAGCTCATAGCCACCGTGATGCTGATGAGAGAGAGACACGCAAACTCAAAATATACAGCAGCAGGCGTCAGGGTTGGGATCGAACCCACGACCTCCTGTATATCAGGCGAGGTAGTTAACAGCTCATAGCCACCGTGGCGATTGCCTGGAACGTCACCCTATTATTAATATGATTTGTGTTATTTATTTATTTATTGTCAAGGCCACACAGCACTCCGTGTTTTTGACGAACGTATTGCGTTATTGTTTACTTACCGCACTTGTAAGCCGCGCTCATCACACACACACACTCCTCTACTTACGAATGAGTTAGGTTCCAGAGGTCTGTTCATAAGTCGATTTGTTCGTATGTCCAACTTGACTCCTGTCGATTCCAAACATGTTCTACGGCATGTACACTTAACACGGAGAATGGCTTTAACAGTTGTATAATCTCCAGTGGATGTAGATGCCACTGGTTCTTCATGTTCTGCAGATTTAGATGCCACTGGTTCTTCATGTTGTGCAGATGTAGATGCCACTGGTTCTTCACGTTCTGCAGATGTAGATGCTACTGATTCTTCACGTTCTGCAAATGTAGATGCTACTGATTCTTCACGTTCTGCAGATGTAGATGCCACTGGTTCTTCACGTTCTGCAGATGTAGATGCCACTGGTTCTTCATGTTCTTCAGATGTAGATGCCACTGGTTCTTCACGTTGTGCAGATGTAGATGCCACTGATTCTTCACGTTCTGTAGATGTAGATGCTACTGATTCTTCACGTTCTGCAAATGTAGATGCTACTGATTCTTCACGTTCTGCAGATGTAGATGCCACTGGTTCTTCACATTCTGCAGATGCAGATGCCGCTGGTTCTTCACGTTCTGCAGATATAGATGCCACTGGTTCTTCACGTTCTAATGAAGGCCGGAAAAGCACACGAGGGGGTGGGTGGCCAGCACCACTCCCGGCCGCCTTTGTCTCCCCAGTGGCAATGTTTACACATCGCACCGGGTACTCATTTGAGGCTGAGTCGACCTCGGGCGGAGGCCCTCGGACCAGTTCAAATACTCGTCGCCGGGATTCGAACTCGGGTCGCCGGGTGCCTAGTGCAAGGCGTGCTAACCACTGCACCACCGCTCCACCAACCCGCACTAGCGAGCGCGGTGAAGTACGGTCGAACGACGATGACCGCCACAATTGACACGGCGCGTGGAGGCCTCCATCCAGCGGTCGATGGACGAACCGGGGGCTGTTCATAATTCACGTTAAATCATTACATTAATTCACAATAATTATACACCGCTGCACACGGGGGCCCTGTGGTATCACGTTATTTGTTTGCAATTTAATTATGCCGCAAAACGTGTGCCTTGGGCTTCGCCACGACGCAGTTGCTAGAATACCACCCGCTTTGACTTGGCAGTGTGGCACCTGGAAAACCGTTAAGGGGTGGTGGTTGTTGTGGTGGTTGTGGTGGTGGTGGTGGTTGTGGTGTTGTGGTTGTGGTGGTTGTGGTTGTGGTGGTTGTGGTGGTGGTTGGTGGTGGTTGTGGTGGTTGTGGTGGTGGTTGTGGTGTTTGTGGTGGTGGTGGTTGTAGTGATGTTTGTGGTGGTGGTGGTTGTTGTGGTGGTGGTGGTTGTTGTGGTGGTGGTGATTGTGGTGGTGGTTGTGGTGGCGGTAGTTTCTTTTTCCCTCTCTCGCAATTCGAGCCCCACAGGCCCTCTCCGAGACGAGCGTTGCCGTCAAATAGTAAAAAAAAAAAATTGTTTTTTCTCTCGGGAAAAGTTGGCCAAAGTTTTAACCGCTTGCTGCGCCCTAGTCTGTCAATTTAATTCAACAATTCATATTTTGTTGTTGTCGTCGTAACATCCGAAATTTTTTTGGGGCGTTTTTTTTCTTTTTTCTTTGTTCGCCTTTTGCATGTACAGCACCCCCGTGTGTGCCGCACGCCACGCATTTGCCAGTCGTTCTGCGCCCTGGGCCCAAAGCCAGCCCTACGTAGCTGGGTAGGCCAGCGGCGTGCACACGTCTCGGCAGAAGATTTTCATTTCGTAAACAAGAGGCGGTGGGAGAGTGGGGTGGCGAGTGCCAGGGGCGGCGGGGGGGGGGAGGGGGCTAAGGGTCGAGGGGGGGGTGGTGAAGGGATTCGAGATTCCATTTTACTTCATGGCAACAGCTGGCGATCAAATCCGCAGCAACCACCAACAACACAACAACAACACAAGCGGCAGCAGCAAGCGAACACTCCACCGCCACCGCCTCGCGTGGCCGCAGACATAGAAGCACCTCCACTCGCCCGCTGGTTTTTGCGCGCCTGGCAAATGACCGCTAAATGAGGCTCTCTCTGCCGCCAGCGAGAGTATCGCCCCAGTACAACTCGCCACCCACCCCCCTCTCCCCAGGCCTCCGAGGCCATGGCACCGGAGGGCGGGCAAGCGGGTTACGGGCTTAAACCGCTAGCGAGTTTTCCTGACCCTCCCTCTCAACCCCGCGCCGACATCGTCAGGTGAAGGTTACGCACAAGTGAAGAGGTTACGCACGCGTGCGTACGTTGATCTTCTGTCGCACCGTACCGTAGCCAACCGCGCTAATCTAGACGCACAAAAGGCAGGTCCGTGAAGGGGGGGGGGGTGGAAACAAAGGTGCGTTTGACAATCCAGACGATGGCGATTTAAAAGTGCACGGCTCCCGGTGACTTCCCAATATCGGAAGGGAAGAAAGCGTTCCGGACGGCCGCGGAAGCGTGGGTGACGGTTCATGCAAAGGTTATGAGGGGGCCTGAGGCTGCTTAATCGGAGGGGAGAGACGGACTAAGCGCACGTTAGATATCGTGGACAGCCACGTGAAGTCGTTGAACGTTTATCGACGAACGTGTTCGAAATGAACGCGTTCATTCGATTTGAAGCTTTCGTGACTGCAAGGATTCATACTCTTAGTTCTTTCGGTAAAGTCACGTAGGTAAAATTAATAAAAAATAAAAATAAACAATAAAAATCACGACGTTTCGGAGTCAACACAAGCTTCCGTCTTCAGGTGAATTTTACCTACGTGACTTTACCGAAAGAACTAAGAGTATGCGTTCATTCGACTCGAAAGGTACGTTCGGGACGCGGCAAGTCACCGCACTCGAACCTTGAAAAATCATTTCGTTTTTCCCCTTGGCGTCAGTTTGCCAGCCACGTCGTCGACGATCATGTAACCGGAGGTTCAGAGACGAACAATTTCCGATGGCCGCGCTGCCGTTGCTCGGCCGTGACTTCTTCGTGGTAATCGTAGGGGTGGGCCTACAAAATATCAGAATGGTCATCAGAATCCACACGTGTCCAGGATCGATCGTGAGGTTTTGTATCTTAGGCCCTCCCTCCCCTACCCCACCGGTTTCTCGGATATGTTGGATCAATCCAAGTCGTCAACGTATACTTTACGCCCCTTGATACGTGCGACAGAAAATTCATTGAATGAATGTGGTTTTTAAATCGCTATTGGATATTGTGTCCGTCGATGCAGGGCAGAGGTCGCAAACGGGTTTTGATTCCTTACCCCTACCCGTACCCGGCCGCACCAGGGTCGCAAACGGGTACCCGTACCCGGCCGGGTGCGGGTAGCCGGGTATCGGGTAGGGTACGGGTATCGGGTACCCGGTTGCGACCTCTGATGCAGGGACCTATTTAAAACGTTTCAAACACCAGAACCCGAGCCCTTGGGAGGTTTTTTTTCAGATCCTGCCCATCTCACACATACGAATTTGACGCGCGCGCGATAACACGACGGTGAGCCCGTGGCCGTTGATGTTAATGAATGAATCGACGCCTGATTGTTAACACTAATTCTGGCCTGGACTTTTGCAGCTGTTTTAGACTGATTTCAGGGTGCTGATTCCAAATCTGATCTCAGATTTGCTCTATCACATCTAATTTTTATGCTATCGGCATACCCCATTTTCATTGATTTTACCCGATTGCAAGTTGTTGCGAGTCAGTGACTGCTTTAGTGTTAGAATATGGTGCTGTATTTTTAGGATAGTGTGTTTATAATATCATTTTATGTAGATATCCACATTTATTTAATATTTTTCTTCTGCAGTTTTTATTGAAAATGCATCATTTGATATCTCAAAAACTTGATGTGATGGACAAAAACTGATGCCAGATTTGGAATCAGCACCCCAAAATTACCTTGAAAC